TCTTTGAAAAGATCAATAAAATCAATAACCTCTAGCCAGGCATCTAAAAAAAGGAGAGAATGTACGAACACTAATATCTTACACAAAAGAGGGGCCATCACTACAGATCCCATGGACATTAAAGGGATATAAAGGAATATCATGAACAACTCTACACTCACAAATTCGATAGCCTAGATGGACTGGACCAATTTCTTGAAAGACACAAACTGCCAAAACTCACGCAGGAAGAAACAGATTTGAATTTCTTCAAATTCTTGAAATTTGAATAGATTGATATAAATTAAAGAAATTGAATCAACAATTAATATCCATCCAAAACAGAAACCACCAGTCCCAGATGATTTCACTGGTGAATTCTACCAAATATTTAAGAAAGAAATTATGCCAATTCTCTACAATCTCTTCCAGAAAATAGAAGCAGAGGGTATACTCTATAACTCATCCAGAAGGCCATCATTATTCTGATACCAAAACCAGACAAAGACATTACAAGAAAGGAAAACTATAAACCAATGCCTCTCATGAACATAGCTGCAAAAATTCTCAAAAAATACCAGCAAATAGAATCCAGTAAAGTATTAAAAGAACTATACAACCAAGTGAGATTTATTCCAGATATGCAAGGTTGGTTCAGCATTTGAAAATCAATTAACATAATCCAACACATAAACAGGTTAAAGAAGAAAAGCCACGTGATCATAATAACAGAAACAAAAAAGCGTTTGACAAAATCCAACACTCATTCATGATAAAAACTCTCAGAAAACTAAGAACAGAAGAGAACTTCCTCAGCTTGATGAAGAACTTGTACAAAAAACCTACAGCTAAAATCATACTTAAAGGTGCTAAACTGGATGCTTTCCTGCCAAGATCAGGAACAAGACAAGGATGTCCCCTCTCACCCCTCCTATCCAACATCATACTGGAAGTTCTAGCTAATGCAATGAGGAAAGGAAAGTATACTGATTAAGAAGAAAGGGGGAAACTGTCTTTTTTCACAGATATATGATTGTCTTTGTAGAAAATCCCAAAGAATCAACAAAAATAAACCCTGAAACTGATAAGCAATTATAGCAAGATTGCAGGATACAAGGTTAATATGCAAAAGTCAGTTGCTTTCCTATATATTAGCCATGAACAATTGGAACTTGAAATAAAAAACAATACCCTTTACACTAGCACCCTAAAAAATGAAATACTTAGGTATAACTCTTACAAAACATGTACAAGATCTATACGAGAAAACTACAAAACTCTGATGAAAGAAATCAAAGAACTAAATACATGGAGAGATATTCCATGTTCATGGATAGGAGGCTCAATATTGCTAAAATGTCAGTTCTTCCCAACTTGATCTGCAGATTTAATGCAATCTCAATCAAAATCCCAGCAAGTTATTTTGTGGATAGTGACAAACTAATTCCAAAGTTTCTGTGGACAGGCAAGAGATCCAGAATAACCAACACAATAACGATGGAGGAGAACAAAGTTGGATGGCTGACACTACTTGACTTCAAGACTTCCTATCAAACTACAGCAATCAATGACAAATAGATCAATGGAACAGAATCAAGAGCTCAGAAACAGACCCACACAAACATAATCAACTGATCTTTGACAAAGGAGCAAGGCAACTCAATGGAGAAAGGATAACCTCTTCAACAAATGGTGCTGGAACAACTGGACAGCCACGTGCAAAAAAATGAATCTAGACACAGACCTTACATGCTTCACAAAAATTAACTCAAAATGGATTATAGACCTAAATGCAAAACACAAAACTATAAAATTCCTAAAACATGACATAGGAGAAAACCTACATGACTTTGGATTTGGTGATGACTTTTTAGATACATTGGACTCCATTAAAATCAAAACCTTCTGCACTGCAATAGACACGGTCAAGAGAATAGGAAAGACAAGACAGGAACTGGGAGAAAATATTTGCAAAAGTTAATAAATCCATTTCTCACAGAGGCACAGATTTTGCAATTCTAAAACGACTTTATTTGTCCTAGCATTGAACAAGTAAGTAAACATGTTGTGAATAGAGAAACTCCTGTTAGAGAAAGCAGCTCTAAATAAGGAAGGGGGGAAGGTTAAAATGAACCCCGTGGTGTTGGATCAGAATTGGAGGTGTCAGTGTGAACTCATCATGAGTGTGTGTGTGAGTGCATGCGTGTGTCTCTATTTCCCAATTTTGACTGCTAATAAGATTCTCTGAGAAGGACGCAATATCGCTTCTGTGATATTCTTGCCAAAAATGCATAGCCTCGATCTGGTCATGAGAAAACATCAGACCAACCCAAACTGGACATTTTACAAAAATTTGAGCAGGGCTCTTCAAAAGTTTCAAGGTCACGAAAAGCAGACAGACTAAGGAGCTGTGATGGATTGGAAGAGACAAAGGAGACGTGAAAACTACATGCACTGTGGATCCTGGACCAGAAAAAAGACATTAATAGGAAAACTGGTGATGCTCAAGTAAGTTCTGCAGCTTAGTTAATTATGTGCATTTCCTGCTTTCCGTAACTGGACCACGGCTGTATGTAGGATGTTAACATTCAGGGAAGCTGGGTGAGAGGTATGCAACTTTTCAATAAGTGTAAGTGTCTTTCAGAATAAGAAGTTTTTCCAAACAAAAACAGAATGAGTAATTTTTTCTCACAAAGGAAAAATTAAGAAGCAGAGGGTAGTAGAAAAATTTCCACCATAATCCTGAAACTAAAAGCAACCGCTGCCCATAGGCTGACTCTTTTAATTATTAACAATTTAAAACTTCTGAGCACCAACTTTGCTCAGCGTGCCTCCCTTCGTGCTCGTCCATCGTATGTCAAATTGCAACCCTCCCTTCACCCACTCATAGTCCTGCTGCGCCCCATCCATCTCTGGCGCTTCCTCCCCAGCGCAGTGTCACCATCTGACATACTATATAATCTACTGATCGTGTCTTTTGTCTCCTGTCTGCCTCTCCACTAAAATGCAAGCCCCACGAGAGTGGAGATTTTGTTTCATTCGTGGATGTATTCCAAATGCTTAAATTAGTCCTTGGATGAAGGAGCCCAGACAAGAGACCAAATCATGGACTTTGAATTCTTGGGAAAAAATCCTGAAAAGATGGGAAAAGGAGAGGCAATGTGTGATGTCACCAGAGTCCTTGAGTATTGAGACCTGGACGCGATACCAGGGGCCACCAGGATATATGGGAGGTGGGGAGGGGGTAGTCTGCCTATTGTAGAAACGACAGAGTTCCAAACACTGAGGGGCTTAAAAGAAGGTGAAGCTGTAGCCCATCACCTCTGAACCGTGACTTAAACCTGAAACAAACAGCTACGAGTGAAAATCCGACATTACAGAGAGCGAAGGAGATTGACAGAGATCCCTGGAGGTTGTGTTGGCTGGCTGGGGCTTTGTACCAGGTACAAAGTACCACACACTGAATGGCGGAAACAGCAGAAATTTATTGTCTCACATTTCTGGAGGCAGAGATCAAGGGCCCGGCAGTGCTGGTTCCTGCTGAGGGCTGTGAGGACGACTCTGTTCCAGGCCTCTCCCAGCGCTTCCGGGCTGTCCTGGCCATCTTCAGCATTCCTCAGCTTGCATCCCTCCCGTTTCTGCCTTCATTTTCACACGGCCTTCTCCCTGTGTGTGTCTCTGGGTCCAAATATCCCCTTTTTATAAGGACTCCTGTCATTTTGGATTTGGGCCCATCCTAATAACCTTAACTAACCACTTCCACAAAGACCCTGTTTCCAAACCAGCTCAGCTTCTGAGGGACTAGAAGTCAGGACTTCAACATAGGAATTTTGCAGGGGACAAAATCCAACCCGTAACAGGGGTCCAGCCCTTGACATAAATTGTATTTTCAAGGTGAAAGCGCCTGGATGGCTGTTAGCACAGGTTAGATTATGCTACAGTCGCTACCAACCTCAGTGACAGGCAGCTTAAAACAACCAAAGTTTATTTCTTGCTCACACTGAGTCCACTGAGGGTCTGCAGGACTCTCAGGACAGCTGCGCTCCACGCCGGGACACAGGGGTCCAAGCTGCTTCCATCTTCCGGTTCCTCACGAGGGGCGGAGAAAGGCTGGGGCACTGCACGTGGTTTGCACCTTGTTTTAGCCTGGAAGTGACCCTCAGCACCAATGCTCACGTACTGCCAGCCAGCACCAGTCTCCTGGGCCTGCACCCCTATAAGGGGGCCTGGAGAAGGTGGGGCGCAGATGGAATGTTTGTGAATGTCACAGCCTCTGCCATGCTGACTTTTGGGGGGCTGGTGTCAGTAGTGTTTCCTTAAGGCCGTGTTTCCTTAGAGCGTTGGCAACATTGACTTAAATCCTTAGCATATATCAAAGGACAGGAAATAAGCTATTTGCTTTAGAAATTACAGCAGGAGTCACTGTGTCCATGAAGACTGGAGAAGAAAGAACAATAGTGCCAGGGAGCCTTAATTGGCTCCGTCTCCAAACAGGTGAGGACTGGGGATGAGGGGAAGGCTGTACTTTGGACGGAAATTCCAGAACAGTCTCTGGCTTTTCCCAGAAGGAGAGGAGGAAGAGAAGAAGAAAGAGGAGCTATAAGAGAATGTAGGGGCGTCTGCCCCATTGCACCCTTTCCCTGCTGGGGTCCGCAGGGGCAGGGCACGTCTTATCACCTCCTGAAAGGCTCCCATGGGGCCTGGCACTTTGTAGAGCCTTGCGTGTACTTCCTGGGAATGAATGATTGAGTGAATGAATGAATAACACTAAATGCACTGTCTCCAGTTCCCAAATGCCATGTCGAGCAGAAGGAAGGAGAGATCCTCACTCAGTCAAGGTCCCACTGGCCGTGCAAACGAGTCCACAGCCAGCAGTGGCAGATGCCCTGCCCTCTCCCGGAAGTGGTCGCAGGGAGGTGACCGGTACTCATGCCCGGAGCCAGTTATGGGAGTTTACTCAGTCAGGAGTGAGGCCTGTGGTAAAGGTTACGAAATAATCTAAAATTTTGGCATCAGCTAGCGGCACGTAAGGTTTTTCCCTTTTCAGCTCTGTCCTGCCAGTTGATGAGGGGAAGAAAAGGGGATTACCCTGGGGCGTGGGCATGCCAAACTGTGAGTCCATGCACTGGCCGCACCCCCATGCCATGCCCCTGCCCTGCCAACCCCCCAGCTCCCAGAGGGAGTGGCTATTTAAGGGGAACTGGAGTTCAGAATACACAAGGCAGTCGCTTGGAAGTATCAACTCTCACGTCCTCTGAGAGGTAAATACCCAGAAATGAGTGCTCCGGGGGGGAGTGTAAGATTTCCTGCTCATTGGCTGCCTTTGAGAGTCTCTGGGTTGTGTGTGTGTGTGTGTGTGCATGTATGTGTGCATGCATATGTAGGCATACTTGAGCAGGAGCACGCATGTACATGGTTTGATGTGTACAAGAGGGTATGCGTGCACAAGTGTGTTGTGCAGCTGTGTGAGTGTATCGTACAAAAGGATGTCTGCATTAGTGCATGAGCTCAAGAGTGTGTGTATGTGTGCATACGTGTGTAAATGTGTGCATGTTTGTGCATGTGTATATCTGTAAGGGGCGGGACAGTCTTACAAAGAGAGGGTGCTGCTTTCATTCTGGAGAAAAATACTGGGGACTGGATCCATAGAGGAAATTCCCAAGCCTTGACTCCAGTGTGGGGACAAGTAAGATATGTCTAATGGGGGACACACAACCTATGACGTTGGGAATCTCCCAGTTTGTTGGGACCTTCCAGGAACTCTCAGTCCCCTGAGGGCAGAGGTCTCACTAGTGTATCAGGTGGGGGTAGCGATAGGTCTGAATCCTGCACGTGTGTGAAAATGTTCATTCAGCAGAGCTGGGAGGGGTCAGGAAGTCGTGCATGTGCACACTTCTTGTGTACCCTGTGTGTGACAAAAGTAGTCACTCTGGCCCCCGCCTGGGATGGAGGAGCATGTCTGAACATTGCCTTGAAGAGTCCCTTCTCTGGGGTTGTCAAGGGTGAGCAGGAGAGCAAGGGACCAGGGCAGAAGCTGGCACCACCTGGGAGAAGAGTCTAGGCAATCCATCTGCCTTTCTCCCACACAGAGCTGTCGACATGAAGACCCTCCTGCTGTTGGCGGTGATCATGGCCTTTGGTAAGAGATGACCCTGACCTCTGGCCACAAAGGGGCAGCCCAGGGAGGGAAGCCCTCCTGTTTCCGTTCGCATTGCAGGAGACTCTCTCTCAGTAGGAAGAAGGAGAGGCTGAGAGGGAGGACACAGTGCCTTAGGCCCCATCACCACGTGATTTCCTTCTAGGCCTGCTGCAGGTCCAGGGGCATTTGCTGGATTTCCGGAAAATGATCCGGTTGATGACAGGAAAGGAAGCTACATCCAGTTATGGCTTCTACGGTTGCCACTGTGGTGTGGGCGGCAAAGGATCCCCCAAGGATGCAACAGATTGGTGAGGCCACCCCAGCCCTCCCTTCCCTCTGCCCACTTGTGGCCCCGGCAGGGCCGGGAGCTGCAATGGTAGGACTGGTGCCCCATGGGCACAGGACCCCAGGAGGGCCTGGCTGGAAAAGCAGCCAGCGTGTTAGAAGCTCTGCTCTAGACTATCCCAAAGTCACTGGGTCTCTGCCCAGGGTCAAGGGGGTGAGACCGTGCACCAGGCTCCCTGGAGCTGTGATGGGGCAGCCCCAATAGGATGTTCTCGTCACAGGTGCTGCGTTGCCCATGACTGTTGCTACTATCGTCTGCAGAAACGTGGGTGTGGCACCAAACTTCTGAACTACAAATTTTCTTACCGCGGGGGCAAGATCATCTGCGGTAAGAAAGAGTTCTGCACCTCCACCCAGTCTCCTTCATTCGTGTCGCAGAGTGTCCACTGTGCTGGGCACCATGCTGGGCACCAGAGACAGAGTTCCAAAGGGACAGAGTTCCTGCCCCTAGGAGCTCATAGTTGAGTGGGAAGTAAAGAAAATGAAAACACAGCATGATAGACTCCAATAGGAAGTAAGCAAACTGGCGGAGCCTGGACACAGGCTGAGGTTCGAGGAAGGCCCCAGAAAGTGGTGACATCCAAGCTGAGTCCTAAAGGCTGTGCAGGAGTCAGGGAAGAGGAGGATTTGGGGCAATCCAACAAGAGGTCACAGCAGGGTCAAAGGGACCAGAGGGAATTGTCACAATTCTGTGCTACTGAAGGGAAATGTGAAGAGGAGGAGTGGGCAGGGAGGAAGCTGGAGAGATAGGAAGGGGCTAGACCAAGCCCCGAGGCCGTATTGTATTTAAATTTTGTCACAAAGCAGGAGGGAGCTCTTAAGTAAAGGAGTGACAGGACCAGATTTGCATTTTGGAGGACTCTCTCTGGCTGAAGGGCGGATCCAGGCAGGATGAAAGGGGGGCCCAGTGAGAAGACCATCGGCATAAGGCAGACAAGAGAAAGAGCCTAACGCGTGACAGTAGTGGTCAGGATGGAAGGGTGGAGAGTGACATTAAGATGCATCTGAGGTAGAATCAGCCGGGCTTGATGACTGGGGATAAGCAGCTGTTGAGAGGGTACATGAGGTGTGGATGGAAAACTGAGGTACAGATCACAGGAGGGGGGTCTGGTGGGTGAGGGGAGAGGAGTTCCATTTAGAACACGTTGAGTTTAGGAGGCTTCCAGAAGCCCCAGGGAGATGTGCAGGCCGCTGGATGTAGAAACTCACGGCTCCAGAGAGGGATCGGATCGGGACCAGGGGCACAGATTCAGGAGTCAGCAGCAGAGAGCTGAAAGTTGGTTGTGCTCGCCCATTTGATTTTTAAAGGCCCAGAAAAAAGACAGAGGAGGGATAGTCAGAGAGAGAGAGCAGGAGAACTGAGAGAGAAGGTCAAGGAAGGCAAGGAGCAGATGATTAACAGCAGCCAATTTAACAGCGGAGTCCTCCGGGATAAGGGTTAACAAGGCTCCTTGGGTTTGGAGGCAGGAAGACCATTGAAAACCTCAGGGGGAGCCGTTTCCATGCAGCAGTGAGGGCAAAGCCAGATTAGAGTGGATTGGGGAGCGAGCGGGAAGCGGGAATTTAAGCAGAGGCAGTAAGTATAGACAACTTTCTGGAGAAAGCTTGACTCTGAAGGGGAGGAGTGGGGAGGGCAGAGTGGTAGCTGGAAGGGTTTGCTCAGCGGCCCTAGACAGCAGATCCACTGGTGAGATTTTGAGAAAGCATGAGCTCTCGTCCCACAGCCTTTAAGATCAAAAATTATGTCTCCCCATCATGACCTCTCCACGGGGTCATGTATCCTTGGAGGCCTTTGAGTTGCAAGCAACAAGATGCCCAACTCAAGGAGGCTTGGATAATGGGGAAGTCTGACTTTCATAGAACAGAAGCCTGGAAGAGGGCAGTGCCAGGGCTGGGGCAGCCTCTCAACTGTGCCGTCAAACACCCAGCCTCTTCCCAACCTTCTGCTCTGCCGTGTTGGCCATGTGATGCCAAGACACACGATGTAGCTCCAAGTATCATGGCCTCACCGTACCAAAGAGGCTTTCCCCTTGCACATCTCTTTTTGAGGGAGGAAATGAATGCTCCCGGAAGGCCCCCTCAGACTTCCTCTTTTGGATCATCGGCCAAGGCAAGGTCACGTGCAACCCAGAGGCCAGTCACTGCAAAGGAAGAAAGGATGACCATCCTGGACACATCCGTTAGCAAGAAGAAAGAGACAACAGCTGTCGGGAAGGCCTTTAACAGAGTCTACCAGTGCTTGGCTACTGGTGTCCCCATCAGACTGAGTGTTAGCTTCCTGAGGGCAGGAATTCTGTCTCCCCGTCAGTCAGAAATATCTGGAGCATAGGTGCTTGTCTCAGACTAGAAGTTTCTGGAGGAGAGGGGCTGTGTCTTCTCCCCCAGGGTTCCCACAAGAAGCCGTAGAATATTAACAAACCCCCTTCTGGTGTTCGTTTTCTTATGATTTCAGCAAAACAGGACTCCTGTAGGAGTGAATTGTGTCAATGTGACAAAACAGCCGCCTCGTGTTTTGCAAGAAACCGGAAGACCTACAGTAAAAAGTATCAATACTACAACAACAAGTCATGCAGAGGGAAGACCCCCCGGTGCTGACAGCCCCCGACCCTGGGAGCCTCACCGCCCAATGCTGTGTCCTTCTCCAGCACCCCGCTCCCTGCCCGATCCAAGTCCCCTGGCCATGAAGGAACCACCATCTCCCATCCTAGAGACAAGCCAGAAGCCCTCCCATCCCCAGACAGAAGCCTTCTATCCAGAACAAGGAGCCTAAAGCCTGGCCCTTCTCCCATCCGTGCCTGGCCCTTTCCCTCTGCTCCCTCAGCATTTCCGCTCTCCTCCAAGTCCAGCTTCCTGCTCCGTAGTAGTAGCTACACTCCCAGGAGGCTCTTCTGAATAAAGCAGTTCATTGGCTAACTGTGTGTGTGTGTGTGTGTGCACTGCCCCAGGCACTGTTAGTGTGAAAACAAACTGGTACAAGGCCGTATGGCGTAAGGGGTTAAAATCCAGACTCTGGAGTCAGACCGGCTGAGTCAACCCCCACTACATCACCTCCCTAAGCCTTAGTTCTCTCATCCAAACGGAGATAACGTGGGTACCAACTGCATGGGCTTGTTGGAGAATTCAAAGAGAGAAGGAATGTCAAGCACTGGGTCTGGCAGGTCTGCATCTGTCATCCTTATTACACGTGGAAGCCAGCCGTCCGCCTCTCCTTCCCTGGGCAAGGGCAGCTCCTGCTGGCCTGTTGGGGGGAAAACAGGAACAACATTGGTCTTGATGTCCTGGGGAGCTATCGTCCACATCTTCTGCGTGGCACGTTTGTCTCCTGTCTTGCCACTTGGTGAAAGTGGGTTCGTGTAATGCTGGGCACCAGCAGTGCCCTCAGAGCACTATCCCCTCCCCCAGGGCCAGCTTCCTGGGCATGCGACCCGTGCAGAGTCCTGCAGGGCCTCACGCTCGGAAGGATGCCGCATCTGGTTTAATGCTCTGCCCCAGCCATCTCAAAATTCTTAATAAGATGGAATCCCACTTTTTATTTGCACTGGGGCCCACAAATTATGTAGCTGGTTCTACCCTCACCTGAATGCTATTTCCCCTCCTGTCATCCAGGGTTCCGTGGGGATATTTCCACCTGGACCAGCTACAGCCCCACCTGATTCTTCACTACCCATCATCAGGGGTGCTGGGTGTGGACGTCTGCACAAGGCACCTTGCTGAGGGGCGCAGGTGGGAGCTGAACTTTAGTCCACGCACGGCTCAGCAAGCTCTGTGTTCACCCAGAGGCGATGGCTTTCTGTAAGTCATCCTGCCAGAAGGAGTGCCTTTCTCTAATTCTGCACAAAGATGCTTCATTTGCTGGCAGTAGCCCTGATCACGTTTACTGTCACTCACAATAAAAGAAATGAAAATTTAAACTCCCCTGAGATACCATTTTTATCTGTGAGAATAGATCAAACTCCAAAAGTGTGACAACGAGCTCTAGCGGCCAGGCCGCATGGGGAAACCGTCACTGTCATAGGTAGCTGGCAGGAGGCCAGAAGGCCCACAGGGGGCAAACGGGCAACAGCTACCAAAATTATAAACGCCTTTCTCCTTTGGCTCAATGACCGCACTTCTGGAAATTTACCCTATGCGTGCACACACACACACAAGCACATGCACAGTGAATCGTGAGCAAGTTTTTCCTTGCCACATTGTTCTGAATTGGGTTGGAAATAATCCCAATGTCCATGTAGAGAGGACTAGTTAGAGAAACAATGATACCACCTCAAGATGAGACACGCTACATCTGTTTAATGAGGGAAGCTTCGTCTGTTGCCATACAGAAAATCTCCAGGACGTGGCGGCAAGTGAAAAGAACACGAGGGAGCATGGTATAAACCGTGTGCCACGTTCCTGTCGGAAAGGGCAGAAATGCGGATATGTGTTTGCCAATATTGCCATAAACACTTAGAGAACACACAAGAAGTTAATTAAAATGGTTACCTATGTAAGGAGCAGGGCTGGCAGGAAAATGCAGCGGGCACAGATGAGATGAGAGGGAGATTTCTCAATATATAATTTTTCTTAGTCCTCTAATGTATTTCTTATTCAAAAGAAAATTAGCATAATCAAGCACACACAAATATTCCTCTCCCTGAGACAGACGCTAATTCTCAGAGACAATATAGTCTAATCCCAGGACTGGGGAACCAAGCTCACCAGCCAAATCTATCCACTGCCTGTTTTTATACCGCTTAGGAGCTAAGAATGGTTTTTACATTTTTAAATAGTTGGAAAAAAAACAAAAGAAGAAGAACATTTTGTGACACATTAAAATGGTATGAAGTTTACATTTTAGCGGCAATAAATAGAGTTTTATCGTAACACAACGATGATCTTTGGTTTGCATGCTGTCTATGACTGCCTCGATGCTACGACAGCAGAATTGAATGGTTGTAACAGAGAAGGTAAGGCCTTTTGCAGAAAGAGTTTGCGGATCCCTGGTCTAAGCCAGGGCTTCTCAAACTGCCCCTGGGGAAGGACTGGTTCTCGTTGTCTCTGATCTGCCTCAGATCACCACTTTTGCAAAATAAAAGACAACCCAAATGTAAAATACAATACGAACCCAAAGGTTTTATTATTCCATTCAATGAACATAAAATTACTCTAAGTTGCTTTGAAGTTTCTAGAGACTTTCAATCTCTGTATGTACCTCACCCTGGATGGAAACAGTTCACAGAGACACTCGCCCTTGGACCCCACTTTGGAAACACTGGTCCGACCCATATCGAGGAAAGACAAATGCTCTTAATGATTCCATAATCAGCAACGTGTTTCTGTCCTTAAGGTAAGCACCACTATTCCTGGGTAGGCAGAATTGCTTCCTCTCCCCTATCGACCCTTCAGGACCCGCTGGAGTGAGGATGGGACCACATTACTCCTCAGTGATGGCGCTTCAGCTTCAGAAGAGATGCTCTGAACCACCCTTTGAAGAAAGCCTCATTAAGTGTTTGACAAAGCCTCTTCTTTCCCTCTGCCTTGATCTAGGGGAAGAGAGAGGCAGCGACTGACAAACTCTGCTACAGCTCTCCCTCTAGTGAAGACTTTGCTCTTCCTAATTGAATATTCTTCCAAGAATATTCTCAGGGCAAGTCTTTATGTGCAAAATCTTCGAGGCCTTCTATTTCTAAGAACATTCCCTTTATACCTCACATTGTATAACAACTTGAAAGGACACAATATTCTAGGTTCAATTGTTTTCTATTATACCTTAGAAATATTCCTCCGTTTTCTCCTTGCTTTCAACGTTGCTGATGAAAAGTCTGACATTAATCTGCCTCCTAATCGTTGGTTGGTTGTCTGCTCCTCCTTCATCTTTAGAATTTTTCTCAGTCTTTGATGTTCTTAACTTTCACTACAACGTGTCCAGTCATCGATTTTTCCTTATCTGTCCTGTGTGCGTTCTTATGTCTTTTCATCTTTCTTTAAGTACAGGAATTTCATATTCATTATTTCTTTGAATATTTCCCTCCATTTTCCCTCTCCTTCTGGGACTTCTATTATCTGCACGTGGGCACATTTATCCTCCATATCTCTTCAATTTTTTCCCCCATTTTCTCTATACACTTTCTCCCATGAGGATTTCTCAATCGATGCCCCTAACTCCCCGTGTCATTCTTCAGCTGGCCATCCCATCTCAACAGTTACATTCTTCATAACTAACATTTACACTTAGGGTATTTTTTAGCGATTTCTTATTCTTGGCTTGTAATGCTAATATCTTCCCTTATCTACATATGTATATTTAACATGCTTATTTTCAGTTCTCGTTCATCCATTCTAACAATTCTATTTCACATGGTATATGCAATCAAGTATATTTCCTTTTTTCCTAGTGGGCATAGTCCGTATGCCTCACGGTGAATTTAGAGAGAGGGGAGGGGATGAGTCTTAGATTTCATGATTGTCAATTGCTGCCCCCACAGGCAGGTGCTCTGGTCAGATAGCACCTGAGAAGCAGCCACACTGGCAAGAAGCCGCACCCCAGGTTCAAGTCGGCCACCCCTGGGATTGGAGGTGCAGTGGAAAAGGAGGTAGTGAAGGATGAGATGAAAGAATGAGTGCCTGAGGGTCGCTGAGCAGCCTGGATTATTTTCCACAATTCCTCGCTGCAGCAGGTTTTTGGCCAGTCCTAATATTATCTCCAGAACTTGAGCATCTGGCTTCTGGGATGAAGAGGCAAAGGGAGAGGAAGGAGAGAATTTAAGAAGCTTCCTCCCAACCTATCCAGTCTTTGCCAGAACGAGCCATCCTCTGCTCCAGGGCACAGCCAGCCCCTTCTCCCGACAGCCACACCCAGCCTTCGAGATCAGCTGCATATTTCCTGCAGGACGCTGCACGGGCCCTTCGGTTTGTTCTTCAAATCCAAGCCTCTCCCTTGGATTTGTAGGTTTTCCAGACTGGTTTTGGCAAAGGGAGCCAGCGGTCTTTGCCAGTTTGCAATCTTGGCAGAAGAAAAGGGGAAATATATAGCAGAGTATCTTGTGAGTAATTTAAAAGCACACACGCGGAGACACTACATATTTCTCATGGAACCATATATTTAAATAAATATATGAAGGATAAATCGATAGCAGAGCTGGAGAATGAAGGAGAAAAATGTATAAAGCAAAACCAATGTCTTACATAAACCAGTGATAACAGTGTGCCCTGAGGAGAAGCCGTGGTGTAATAGGTTAAGCAATTGGTCAATTCTAAATGCATTTATCTTTTGACGCAGCAACCCACTTCTGGAAATTTACCTATAAATGCACAGACACACACACACAGTGATGCATGAGCAGCGTATAAGGGACAGAAAATTCAAACCCAGAGCTGTCTCGATCCAAAGTCTGTTCTTTCTACTGCCCATGATGTTAGAAAGCTTGACTGGAATGTCAGTGTGAGTGCCCACTGACACACCGGCCGGCTGGGCCTCTGGGTCCTCATTTATACAATCTAGCCAGAATGAAATGCCCATTTCCCAATTATTGCTATCTCTGGGCTATGTTAACAGAGACCATACAGAATCTGAAAATCATTCTTATTTTGCTTTTGCCCTCAGTTTTATTATGATGGAGTTGAACTGGTGGATCCTGCCTGATCACCAGTAGAATAAAGTCAGGTTCCTGCTGAGTGGCAGGAAGGTGATCCCCTGAGCCTGAAATCTTCTATACATGACGCGATGGGACATTAATTAAGTAGATGCATGAGTGAGTGGTGTTGTGGGAGCAACTTGAGGATAGAAACTACATCTAGTTCACCATAAGCTCGGGGCCTGGCGTGGATGCAGCAACTGCTGAGGCTCCAGGACACAGGTCCTAGAGAATCTGGGGAGACCCAGAAACAGCGCCTAGCACAGTCTAACCCCGGAGCCACTCGGATCCACTTGTGCT